CGGGGGGAGCAAGCAGCAGTCAGCAGTAGGGGGCTGGCGAGTGGTGACTGCCTGCAGATGCCACCGGCAGCATTGGCCAATCTCAGGGGATGCACATGCATCCATGTGCATCCCCTATGCATTGCCAATGCCTCTGGCTTCCCCATTCCTGACCCCTGATACTCAGATGAGTGGCAGAGGCAGTGCTTTAAAACCTGGAGGGGCTGGGAACCAGGTGTATAGTGGATTAAAAGCTGGCAGCCAGGGGTGGGGCTTGGGGAAAGCCTCCCTGACCCTTGGCTTCCAGCTCCCCCTTGCCTCCTACTACCCTGCTGAGTGGCAGGGTGGCAATTTAAAGGTGGTAGCTAGAAACAGGTCCCCAGAGCCCAGATCCCAGCCACCAGCTTTTAAATCACTGGCCTAATGCTGACAAGGAGAGCCAGCAGAAGCTGAGAGCCTGGTCAGACTTTCCTGGAACCTTGTTCTGGCTGCCAGCTTTTTGATTGCCACCTGCCACTCAGCTGGTTGGTGGGAACAGCCATGGGGAATCAGGGGGAGCCTGCAAGGCTTCATGCTTCTTCCTTAACTCAGGGACTGCCTGGTTTGAGGAAGATGCAGAGAGGGATGGCTGCTGCTCCCCTTACTGCCTGGTGTATGGGAGGCAAGGAGCAGCTGCCTCTCATTCCTTCTCAAGACCAGGGGGACCCTTGTCTCAGGGGCTAAGTGCAGACAGTCACAGAGCCTGAAGCTGAATCAGTTCAGTCTTTTCAGGTAAATCTAAGCTGCATAGATTGAACCAGTAAGAAAAGTAGACAGGCATTCATTCACTTTTAACTCTAGAAATGTAGCCACATGACTGGTGGTTCAGGCCAGAAGCCAGGGCACTAGAGCATGCTTCCCTGCTTGGCTGGAGCAGACAGCTTGGGCCAAAGCTAGCTGCCCCCCACCCTGAGAGGGGCGATTTATGGGGGAGGTGCAAAGCGTTCTGGGATGCTGGGGGACTGTGAGGTAACTTGAACCTGGAGGAGATCAGGGTAAGAAGTTCAATAAACTAATTTAACGTAAATGAGTTAAGTTACATCCATTTTGGCCATTCTCAAACTGGTTCAAACGAGTCAGAATTGGTTCAAACTAGCTACAAGAATCAAGGACAACAAGAAGTCCTTCTTTAGTTACATAGGGAGTAAAAGGAAAACTAATGGGAGTGTGGGGCCACTGCTCAATGCCTCAGGATACCTGGTCACTACCGCTCAGGAAAAAACGGAGCTCCTGAATGACTACTTTGCCTCGGTCTTTCACAAGACCAAGGAGAACAACATGCCAGGTAGGGCACAGAAAGAGCAGGGCAGGATTGACACCGTTCCCACCATTCCCATAGAACTGGTGTATGATCAGTTAAAGAAATTAGACATGTATAAATCAGCAGGACCTGATGAACTCCACCCAAGAGTGCTGCAATAGTTGGCTGAAGTAATCACAGAGCTCCTGGCAAAGGTCTTTCAAAAATCATGGGCCTCTAGAGAAATCGCAGAGGACCAGAAGAGGGCCAGTGTTGTGCCCGTCTTCAAGAAGGGGAAGCGTGAAGACCCAGGACACTACAGGCCAATTAGCTTAACTTCTTTTCCAGGGAAAATCCTAGAAACATTCATCAAAGAGGCTATATGTGACAAACTTGCAGAAGACATGATACTGAATGACAGCCAGCATGGCTTCATTGTGGGCAGGTCTTGTTTGACCAACCATATTGCTTTCTATGATCAGGTGATTCATCACCTAGACAAGAGGAAAACAGTTGACATCATATACCTTGACTTCCAGAAAGCCTTTGACCTGGTATCCCACGAGGTACTGATCAGAAAACTGGAAAGTATCAGGTTCAACTGCAGAACTGTCAAGTGGGTGCAGAACTGGTTTTGGGGTACAACACAGAGTCCAAATGAATGGATTGGTATCATCCTGGCGAGATGTGGGCAGTGGTGTACCCCAGGGGGTGGTACTTGGCCCAGTGGTATTCAATATCTACATCAATGACTTGGATGAGAGCATGAAAAGCCCATTGGCCAAGTTCACAGATGACACCAAGATATGGGGTTGTGTGGACACACCTGCAGATAGGCTGCAGATACAAGCAGACCTAGACAGGCTGGCATGTCGGGCAGAACGGAACCAGAAGAAGTTCAACATAGAGAAATGCGAAGTGCTTCATCTGGGAAGCAAAAACCCCCAGCACACCTACAGGCTGGACATTGCTAAATTGACGAGCACTACAAATTAAAGGGAGCTGGGGGGAACAATAGACCCCACCATAAATAGGAGCCAGCAATGCAATGCAGTAGCCACTAGGTCCAATAAAACTTTAGCATGCATCAATCGATGCATCTCCAGTAAATCCAAAGAAGTGATTCTCCCACTTTACTCAACATTGGTGCAGCTGCAGCTGGGCGCCGCACTTCAACAAGGACGTCCTAAAGCCTGAGAGAGTCCAGAGAAGGGCCACCTGCATGATCAGGGACTTGCATGGGAAGCCATATGAGGAGAGGCTGAGGAATCTTGGACTCTTCAGCCTAAAGAAAAGAAGGCTGAGAGGGGACCTGATTGTGGCTTACCGCTATATCAGAGGCGTACATCAGGGGCTCGGTGAACAACTGTTCACCAGGGTGCCCTCGGGGAAAACTAAAAACAATGGCCACAAACTCCTGGAAGATAGTTTCAGGCTAAACATTAGGAAAAACTTCTTTACAACTAGGGTGTTCAGACTATGGGACAAGCTCCCCACAGAGGTGGTGCAATCATCTACCCTAAAGGTCTTCAAGAGAAGACTGGACAGTCACCTGGCTGGGGTCATCTGACCCCAGATGTCTTTCCTGCTCATGCACAGGCTAGACCCAATGATCCTTTGGAGTCCCTTCCAGCCCTATGATTCTGTGAAACTGGTTGCTTCCAGTTGGGACCAGTGCAAACTGGTTGCAACCAGTTCAAACTGGTTCAAACTGATAAGAGCCAGTTCAGACCAGTCAGAACTGGTCTGATGCAAACCAGATGGAACCAGTTCAAACTGGTCAGAACTGGTTCAAACTGGTCAGAATCGATTAAAACCTGTCAGAACTGGTCAGAACCAGTTCAAACTGGTTGGAACTGGTTCAAACCAGTCAGTTCCAGTTGGGACTGGTACAAACCTATTGGAACCAGTTGGAACCAGTTCAAGCCATTTGGAACTGGTTCACACTGGTCATAACCAGTGCAAACCAGTCAGAACCACTTGGAACTGATGCAAACTGGTCGGACCCAGTTCAAACCGGTCATAACCAGTTGGAACCAGTCGGAATTGGTTCAAACCAGTTGGAACCAGTCTAAACCCATTGGAATCAGTTTAAACTAGTTGGACTCAGTTCAAACCAGTCCAAACTGGTCGGAACCAGTTTGAACCAGTCGTTACCAGTGCAAACCAGTCAAAAATGATGCAAACTGTTCAGAACCAGTTGGAACTGGTTCAAATTGGTTGGAACTGGTCGGAAGCAGTTGAAACTGGTTGGAACCGATCAGAGCCGTTTTTAACCTGTCGGTAGCAGTTGGAACCAGTCAGTAACCTTTTTAAGCCAGTCAGATCCAGTCAGAATTAGTTTAAAACAGTCAGAACTGGTTCAAAACAGTTGGAACCGGTTCAAAACAGTCAGAACCAGTTCAAACCAGTCGGAACTGGTCAGAACAGGTTCAAACTAGTCACTTCCAGGTAGGCCCAGTGCAAACCAGTTGGAACTGGTTCAAACTGGTCGGAACCGGTTCAAACTGGTGAGAACCAGTTGGAACTCATGTAAACCAGTTGGCACCTGTTGGAACCGGGTCAACCAGTCAGAACCGGTTGGAACTGTTCAGAACCAATTCAGACAAGTTGGAACTGGTTCAAACTGGTTGGAACCATTTGGAACTGGTTTAAACTGGTGAAGACTGTTTCAAACTTAAACTGGTCAGAACCAGTTGGAACTTGTTCAATCTCAAACTGGTCATAACTATTTTGAACCAGTTCAAACTAGTCTGAAGCAATTCAAACCACAGTTCAAACCATTCAGAACGAGTTCCATTCAGAACCAGTTGGAACTGATTCAGACCACATGGAACTAGTTCAAACCGGTTTGAACTGGTTGGAACCTTTTGGAATTTATTGGAACAGGTTCAAACTAATTGGAAGCGGTTCTGACCAGTTTGAATCCATTCTGACCGGTTTGAACCAGTTCCAACTAGTTCAACTGGTTTGAACTGGTTCCAAATGGGTCAGGTACCATCAACACACAATATTCTGGCGGCTGTTGCTACACTCTGTGGTGATCTCCTCTATCAGTGGGGGCAACCTTTTTAGCAGATGTGCCACATGTTAGCCCCAGACCCTCCCCTAGTCCCATCCAGTCGCTCTCTGCTACTTTATCAAGTGCTCTGTTTTCTGCTTCCTGCCTTGTGCTTCCTGTCTCATGTGCTGCTCTGCTTTCTGCTCCCTGCCAGAGCTGCCACTGTGCTGCCTCCCTCCTCCCCAGTCTGCTGCGTGCCACGCACGGAGCCTGCCCTTCCCACTTGTAGTAGCCATGCCGCAGGTCAGCCATCCCTGTCCTGTATAATACATTGAGACAAGGGCTGACACCTGTCCACCTACAAAGTTATTTTTAATTCTCCAGACTAGACTCTAATAATGGCTTGCCTGCCCGTGGATGTGATACCATTATAAGCTGTGGGTCGGGAGTGGATCTATACAGTGTGGAGCTTATGACTATTACCTCCTCTGTAGCTGGAATTTTTTTAAATGTCTAATGTGATATCATATATGGATCAAAGATGAAAAACTGATGCCTATTCCCACTGAGCTGCCCAAGACTACACACAGTTTTAAAAAAAGGAAATACATTGGTATGGGGGGGAAAAGTCCAGTCTTAAATTTTGGAATGGGGTATGTAGAAACAGAAACATTTTATATTTCCCCCACTGTATAGAATCCCAAAGAATTCAACAGCAAATCAATATTGGACAATGGTGAATAATTTTCTAGGTAAGGCTTGGAGTTCATTGTAGAAGCAGGAGGAAGACACAACATAGAGAAGAGAAAAGAGAGATGATTTTTACAAGCACTTTGTTGGGGCTCTTCCTACTTCTTTCTCAGAACAAATTCATGTGAGATTTCAAGCTTTAATTTTAGCTTTCCAAGTATCAAAATACAGACATTTGTTTTCTTCCTTTCCTGCTTTTTATTCCATAGTAGCTGCTCCTCCCATCATGCTGATGAAGGCTGTGTTCTTCTTGCTCTTGTTTGCTTCACATTTAATTTCCCGAGGCTTTGCTGTAATGCCTTGGCTTCTCAACATAGGAGGCTTCCAGTTCCCTAGGGAGAAAGAAAAAAATCATGTCCTGATATCAGCTTCTAATTGACAGTGGTCTGTGTTATGAACCAATCTATTCAATCACTGCACGGAACAAGGGCAGATTTTCATCAAAAGATGCTCCCAGAGGGGTTACTCACTTTGAAGAAAATGCATTAATTAAAGCACTCTAAAAAATAGTGGGTGAAGAAATGCATAACATTTCAGCTAGATTTTATGCTACATTGAGCACTTTCTTGACCTTCGTCTCCAAATGGTAAACAGAAATGCAGTTTTGAAAGCCTTAATAGAGACTGGTAGCACAACTCAACTCTTTCCTCTGCAGCCCCCCACCCTAGAAAGAACAACAAAAATAGGATGCAGTTTCCATATTCACAGCTGAAGCTGTTTAGAGCCCAGGCAGACTAACATTAACAAATGAGAATAATTAGGCTTGATTTGCATATTAAAATACTCTTAATTAAACACAGACCCTGTAAACGTTTAAAGGCTGTAATCGATCTTTTGCAGGCTTGCTTGGTTATTTATATGATCTAATAAAGACTAGAGGCTTTGTTAATGAGACCTCTATTTCCTAACATGTATGTGTCAAGGAGATTATTTCACTAACAATTATGGAGCAGGCTGCCTTTAATAACTTGTAAAAACCTAAGGCTGAAATTCTTTTGCATGGGGACTATATAAAATGATAGACCTACTATAATATAAGCCTACCATGTTTAAATTTTTTCTTTTTCATTATACGTTTTAGGGATCAATCCAGAAGTCTACTCAGGCAAAACTCATAGTGAAGTCACTTCTGAAGGAATGGAGGCATCAGGTCTATGCTGTCTTGCTGCAATATATTTAAATAATATGCCCAAATGTTTACTGAGTGTAAGATGGACAGAATAAATTTGGTCAGTGATTCAGGGCTGCATCCCCAGTAATGTCAACTTTAAAATAAGGTTTTTTTTCCCCATGTATAATATAAAATACATGCACACTCGTCCGCATACCCACATTCAAATCATCCAGGACAGCTCTCCCAGGTTTCTTTTCCTGAGAGAAAACTGACCTGTATGGAAGTTCAAATTGGGTGGTTGCTGTGTATTCATAGATTCATAGACACTAGAGCTCAGAAGATCATCAAGTCCAGCCCCCATTGATTTAGTACTTCTATAATCAAGTACTAAATAAACGTGCAGTAACTAGAGTTAGTGCGCAGTAGCACGGGCAAACACCTTTTAAGTGAGGCTACTGTGCAGTACCCTAATATTACAGCACAGTTGTGTATTAGCACTGTTGGTACTGTGACACACTACTACACAGTATTATTTGGCAACTTCACACTCACCGTCTCATGTAGACACACCCACAGAGAAGCAAAAACCCTGCAGTGAGGACACTGGGCTGCCAGGGGTCCCTAGAGCATGCAACCCAAAGAGCTTTGCAGGCTGCTTTCTTTTTTTTAAATGAATGTAGGCGGGGGTCCTCAGGGTCAGGAAAGGTGTGGGCAGAGTCTGTGCTTTGCACAGCAGCCTCCAGTCTTCCCCTCCCCATGTTGTATTCTCAGGCAGGGAGTATATTTGTATGCTTCCTGGAACCAAAGTACTGCAATGTGATACAGGAAGGGGACAAGCCAGGAGCAGAACATGCCGCCTAAGTGCTTCAGCGTCAGTGCTGAGCTTTTCCAACCCAAAGCACTTAGAGGCTGTGTACTGCCCCCCTGTACTTGGCTGGGAGTGACACACCCTTCCTCCCCCCATGGGAGGGAGAAGTAGCAAAGCACACTGGATGCCTGGGAGCTACTTCACTCATGTTATTCCTGAGTTATTTTTGTCCCAGGGTGGCCATTTTTACTCTGGGAGAAAAATTACACACTTCTGTACATTTGTGGCTTCTCCTGAGAGAGTGTAGACTCTCACTGGAGATACTGAATGTCTGCCCAAGCCCTCTCTGGTGCATTTGTGCAGCAATATTTCTACAGAGCAGTGGAAGTGCTTTCAAGAACATTACTCTTGTCTATGGTTGTTTTTACCAATGGAATATTTCTGGCCCCCAGGCCAAATCTGGACTGCAAGAAGCCTCCTGTGACAGTTACAGTAGGGTGGAGCAAGTGCCAGCGGGGAAAATCAGTTTTGGACAACTCTGTTTTTTCTTCTCAAGATCTTGTCAGCATCAGGCAAGAAATCTTTCAGAGAAAAGTGCTGCACATCAGGTTTGCTACTTCCCCCCTAATTTTATTAATGGTCCTTGATCCTATTATCTGTAAAAGGTTTATCAAATAATTTGTTTTAACATTTTCTTTGCCACTGGGTGTTCCCATTTCATATTTCCTGGTTTCACTCCTCTCTGCATGCTCTTTTGAAGCTCACAGGGATAATTACATAGTCTGCACTCCTGTGAGTGCAGTCATCAAATGCAGTGCCAGTTCTTCTAGATAGAAAATAATACATATATTCCCCTTTCTTGTATGTCTGAAGTACTATTTAAAGGTAAATGGCATGTATTTTAATAACCATAATACTTAAACATTATTTTCCTTAGTGATATTAAGGAGCTGTATGGCCTATGGGTATTGTGAGTTGGATTTTCAAAATCTCTGTGATGGCAGAGTTCTGCTTTCCCTAAAGTTGACTATGGAACTCTAATGGGAGTAGAGTTAGGCCAGCACTGAACAATTTTGAAAATCCCTGGACTGCAATTTGGTATAGTACTTTCAGTGTGCCTACTTGTGTCAAAAGTTAGAAGTATGTGTTTAGGTACCTTCTGTCTGTGCCTAAAATGTGTGGGTATAGAAACTGCAGTTTGTGATGCAGTCATTGAGAGTTTTGCAAGTGGACAGACTGAAGAATGAGGTGCTGTGATTTAAACTAATAGGCTATTATGTTTAAGTTCAATAGGACCAGGATCAGTATTATCCTATAATATATTACTGCTATCTAACTGAATGTGTATAAGCATCCTATATGCTTACAGGATGATGCTGATCTAAAATATATATATATATGGGATATCTATAATATATATAATATAATATATATTTATATTATAGATCAGGTACATCCTATAAGCATAGGGTTATAATTATAATAGTCATAGGTTATAATAATTCTAGAATCATGGAAAATTAGGGTTGGCAGGGACCTCAGGAGGTCATCTAGTCCAACACCCTGCTCAAAGCAGGACCAGCCCCAACTAGACCATTCTAGCCAGGGCTGTGTCAAGGTGGGCTTTAAAAACCTCCAAGGATCGATAGGTGTGTATCCAGAAAAATACAATATATCTTTTTATATATATCATGTATTCTGTTGGTGGTTATGGTGATAATGAATCCGCTCCTTGTTTGTGATGCTTAATGTATCTTGGACTGAACAACCACAGAAGCCAGATAACTCAGACTATAATTATTACAGAAAATAATGGGAAGTACCATCGAGTTATTGTTATATTGTTAGATTAAATGTCATTTTTAAATGAAAGATAAGTAGCCTTTGAAACAAACATTCCCTTTGCCTCTTGTTTCCTTCTTCTCTATAATCTCCCTTTTTCTATTTTTGCATTATTGGTTGAAAATGAAGTTTGCAAGCATTGTCAAAATTTGTCATTCTGAATTCTGAAAATGTAGAAATAATTTTGATGAAATATCCTTAAATTCTCCTTGTCCACTAACTTGGGATACATATAGAACATCTATCCTGAAGAATTCTAATTGGTGTGAAGTAAGTGGCCTTACATTTTTTGATGAGTAGAACTGATCAATTTTTATTTTTTAGTTTTGAATTTTAAATTAATCTTTATTGAATGTGTATTTTTAATTTAGCTATTTTGCATGTACATATGGGGGGATGAGGAGAGAGATCAGCTAACTAAATACATTTACCATTTTAACAGACCTGTTATCTGTCACCTTTCTTGGATTACCATTCAGGTCAGCAGGGTCCTTACCCCCGGGATAGAAATGGTTTTGTAAATTGTGTAATAATAAGTTGAGGGAATCTGAACCCTGACTAAAAAAAAGATTTACTTTCTATTCTTAGTTTTTGGTTTCCCTGCCAACAGTCTTAAGGTGCGTGCCATTTGGGGTTACAGCTATGTAGCCAATGGGAAATGAGATCACAGGTTCTTTCTACCTAAGCCAACAAATAGCCATTAGACAATGAAACAGCTATATATATGTCAGTCTATCTTTATTTTATAGCACAATCAACCCACCCTGTAGATTAATGAAGATAATATAAATATGACAAACACTCGTTGGCATATATGCACTCATTTGATTTTGCAGGACAAATGCCAAGACATGAGAGTATAAAATGATAATTACAAATTATAACCAAGAACTTTAATAAAAATTGCAGAGATATTTACGCTTGGAAATTCTCAGTGTAAATGCAATGTTTTTACTAGTGATTTTCTTAATAGAAATAGAAATTAACAAAACAAATACAGCTGTCAGATGTGAATAGCTTTGCCCCTATTGTCATACTTTGATTGAGAGTGGCACTTTGAAAATAGGAGGGGCCCATTAACCATTCTTTATCCTTGAAGTCATCCTTAATTGTCTGTTTTTTGTTAGTTTCTTTAAACAAACAGTCTTCGATATATTGCCTGGAATTGTTTTCCAACCTGTTTCAGTTCCTTTTGTTCTAGAGAAGCCAAATATATACTGTTCTGGTCTGAACCAAGATTAATCAGTGGTTTTGGTTGGGGGACCAATGCTGTAGTTCTTGTTTAATGATGGTGAAATTGTGTAAGCTCTAGTCAAGAAATTTCACTCAATAAAATGGTAAGAGATTTTTCAGAAAAAATCTGAGATTCCGCACCATTTTGACAACTTGAATTGTTGGTTTTGAGAGTCAGAGGGAGAAAAGATGAAATATAGGGCACAGCTTTAAAAATAGTCATTGAACACAAACAAGAAGTTATAATCACAGAAGTATAACAACTGTGGAAATCTTATCAGAGATTCTACTTTTGTTAATTTCCACAGACTTGTACTGCATTCAAACCAGTTCCC